TCACAGAGTGCTTTGAGGCACCATATTGACCTCATAATAAGTCCTATGCCACTTGGAGCATGACAAATAATAGAAAATTTTAAAAAATAAAATAAAAACACCTTGGGAGATCATGAAAACAAGCTTCCAGAAGAAGGCATGGGGGGAACCTATATTTTTATACCTTTAATGCTATGTTCTTTATGCTTTTTTGAACAATGGATCCCACATTTCATTTTTCACTATAGCACTGTTGCACTGTAGCACTGTCCTCCCACTGTTCATCAATTTGCTCAAGCGGGCACCAGTAACGTCTCCATCGTGAGACTTGCTGTTACTGTTTTTGGCATAACGAATACACCACGGGGAGCTTGCTAGGCTCTTCTGTGTGGGTGGAAGACTCTTGGTAGCTTGCCAGGCTCTCCGAGAGGGGCGGAAGAATTGAACCCGGGTCAGCTGCATGGAAGGCAAACACCCTTCCTGCTGTGCTATCATTCCAGTCCTGCCATTTTTCACTAATCCCTACAGATTATGTTGCCATTACTGTACACAGCAGATTCTAAAAGGTTTTTTTTCTCGTGGGGTTAGTGTGTGTGCGCATGTGTGTGTGGATTTGTTTTGTTTGGTGGATACACTCAGCTGTGCTCTGGGCTGCTGGCTCTGTGATCATGGATTCCTCATGGCAAGACACAGGAAACCATACGGAGTGTCGGGGATCAAATCCGAGTAGGTCATATGCAAGGCAAGTGCCCTTCCTGCTGAGTCTACTCTCCAGCCCCTGTATTTTAAGAATTTGAGAGTACATTACTCTCCATTTGAAAGATGATAACTATGCCAATTCTCCAAAAGAAGGCTTGTGAAAGCCAGGATACTGGAGGATTTTTCAAATACACACAGAACACTATAGGAACTCTCCAGCACCCACCTCTTCTATTCCTATCAACAGAACTCTTATTTACTTGCATTACAAACAATACTGAGAACTCAAACACTTTCTGCATTTATATTTAAAACACAAGTCTTTTGCTTTAATCACATAAAGACTCCCAATGTAATCACCTTGGTAACTAAAAGAATATGATCTTTATAAATCAGTGAGAAGTAAATAATCTCCAGCATTTCACTATAGCTACAAAATCCTTTTTATTACCTTCATATAGGAAATTTCTCCAGAAACCATAACAAACATAAGGCAAGGGAAATAAAAGGTCCATTTGTATTTCTAAGAGAGGCACAACATTTGGGTATGAAAGTAATTTTATTATCCATTTAGAATATTGTATGCTTAGTGCATTAAAAATGTGTTATAGTCACATTTAAACATTAACCAGAGCCTAAGAGCCAGTACAGGAGATAGGGTGATAAATGCAGCTGACCCTCACGGCCCCTCTCCACACACTCAGACCAAGCCTCACCCATGAGTGAATCTCCAGTAAAACCCAGGTTTGAGGGACTTCATCACTGAGAACTCTGGGTTCAACAGGACGGGGAATGGAGATCCTCCGCCCATTCCCAATGTCTGGCAACTCAGCAGTCATACCCATGAGCCTCCCCTGGCTGACGCCACATAATCTCATCATCAGCCAACTTCCAGATGGCATGTCCTTCTCTCCTGGAAGGGAGCATAACATGATGTTCTCACTAACCATGCCGCCGACCCAGTGACAGGCTGTTTCACTTGGGGTACCCCAGAGGGGGGCAGGTGAGACCTCACCCCACCTCAAGGGACCCAGCTCTGGCAGCCGAAAACCTCCAAAACTCTGATGCCACCATGCTCAAGACTGCTCTCCACACTTGGGCCGAGTCTTACCCATGTATGAATCTGTTCCTGGACCATGTGGCCGCACTTCATACCACACACTCTACCTATACTCCAAGAGTACCGAACCACATTTGATAGGGTCAAAGTAGAAGGTAACCAATCGTAGAGGGGAAAATACATTTTTTACAAATATATATATACATATATATATATATATATTTCATAGGCTCAACCTTTAACATGTTAGTGATCTCTTATAGAAGGGCTTAATGGCCCTGGTGTGAAATACAACAATCTCCACACTCTTTCCTCTAAGGATACTATACTGAAGCATTTTTGGTGGCTTTTCATAACAAACGATACAAAATATATTATTTCAGTTCTGCTTTGGGCTAGGGATTGGGGTTTGGGAAGGAAATATCCAAAAGATGGTAATGGAAAGGTGTAATGGTAGTGGGATTGATGTTTGAATATTAAACGTAATTAAATATTGTGAACTATTCTATAAAAAAAATTTAAAAAAACACAGCTGACTTCGGTTCTATCCCTGAATCCCATATGGTGCTCTGATCTCACCAGAACTGTTTTGAGAGCAGAATCAGATGTAACCTTGACTACTTGGCCCCCACATTTTTTTAAATGAACCTGATAATTCCCAGTACATTTTTAAACAGGGGTAAAGGCATCTGTCTGTAGCTAATGGATACATTAAGAGAAAAGCACTTTTTCTTCTAAGTAATTTGTTCCTTTAAATGCCACAGGATATGTGTTTATTCAGGTTAGAATCAGACAATCAAAAATCATCACACAGATCTACTGAAAGAACTTTTCCTAAGATTCCACTCATTCTTCCTTCACACAGAGATATAAAAAATACCTGGTGCATTTTTATGCTTTTTCCAAGAAAAATATCACTTTTTAAAGAATAGAAGGGAATATCTTACAGAAACAAAGACCATAAAGTAAACAAAAATGCTTGAATATTTGAATCAATAGTCTAAAGACATTTTTAAGAGACAAAACAAATAGCACAAATATGAAAAAAAGGACTAAAATTTGTTTAACCGTGTTAAAACAAATCTTAGACGCCTCAGTAATTCTCCCAGAAAAATGAAAGGCAAAAAACCAAGCATTTAATATGCAGATACAACACCATACAGAACATCACATTCCTGTTCTACTCTCTTGTCCACACAACAGATAAAAAAGATTGGTTGCTGTGCTTCATTTTCTCAGGAGTTTAAATTGAGTGCTTTTACTCCAGTCTGCTACTTTGTCTTTCAAATGGAGTTCTCACCTGAGGATAAGAGAGAGCAATCTGTTCCTACTTCCATCTTCCTCCTCTCCCCTGCCCTCCTCTTCCCAGTCCTATTAAAGTCTCTCCAGAGTGACTACTTTCTCTCCTATTTCCACTCAATGAATTTATAAGTTTCAGATCTTCAAACAATTTTTTTTGAGGGAGAGGCACACCTGGCAATGCTCAGGGTAAAATCATGGCTCTGCACTCAGGAATTACTCCTGGTGGTGCTTGGAGAACCATATGGAATGCCAGGGATCGAACCCAGGTCAGCCAAGTGCAAGGCAAATGCCCTACCCACTGTACTATGGCTCTGGCCCCTCGATTTTCATTCTTTCACATTACAATTCTTTGCTCCTTCAGTTATCACCTTGTTAACAGCTGCATACGTTTCAAAACTACTAGAACAACAGAAGCAATGTTATAAGCCAGCGGACACTATTTCTTATTGCAGTAACATGATTGACTATAGAATTAAACATTTACATATTGGGCAAATAATGTTACTACATCGTATTATCAAAGTGCCAATATCTCTCACCCCCCACCCCCCGCCGACCCTGTTCCCCAAAATCTCCACCCACCCTCCAAACTCCACCCAATCCTCCATTCCAAATTCGTAAAACTCAGTTCTTATGGCTGTCTTTTTTCTTTGATCATGACTGTTGCTTTCTTTATATTCCACATTATGAGTGAGATCATCTGACATTTATCTTTCTCATTCTAACTTACCTTGCTCAACATGACACCCTCTTTTTCCACCTAAAATCACAGTGAAATGCAGTACTTTATCTCTTCTTACATTGAGTAGTATTCATTTTGTATACATTCCACAATTTCTTTGCTCACTCATTTGTTGTTGGACATCTGAGTTGTTTCCAGATACTGGTCATTGTAAATAGATGTGCATTTGTCCTTCTGCATTAACAGTGCTCATGGAATAGATGCTGAGGAGTGAGTTTTAAAATTGTTTCTTTTTTTAATATTTTGAGAAATCCCAATGCTGTTTTAAATATCCATGTTTGCTTAATCAGAGTATATGCCCACTCACAGCAAATGGGCACTTCTTAAAAATTATTTATTTATTTAATTTTATTGAATCACCATGAGATACTTACAAGCTTTCACGTTTGGGTTACAATCGCACAATGATCAAACACTCATTCCTCCACCAGTGCACATTCCCCACCACCAATATCTCCAGTATATCCCCCCTTTCACACCCTCCCCCTGCCTTTTTCTGGCAGACAATTTTCCCCATACTCTCTCTCTACTTTTGGGCATTACTTTGCTATATAGCAACTGAGAAGCCATCATGTTTGGTCCTTTATCTACTTTCTGCAGACTTCTCCCATCTCAACTGATTCCTCCAGCCATCATTTTCTTATAGTGATCCCTTCTCTATTCTAGCCGCCTTCTCCCTTTTGCTCATGAGGCAGGCTTCCAGCTATGAAGGAATCTACCTGTCCTGTGTGTCTACTATCTTAGGTGTCAGCCTCATGTTATGTTGTTTTATACTCCACAAATTTGGGGACTTTTTTTTGGACATAAATTATACTCCTTGCTCTACTTAATTACCTCCACTCTTCCAACTTATATATATATATATATATGTGTGTGTGTGTGTGTGTGTGTGTGTATACATATATATATATATCATATGAGATTTAAAGAGATAAAGAATCAGGCTAATCACTAATTTGCATGTTTTATATTGACAGACCTCTAAAGTCTCAAAGATCAAGTTGAGCAAATATCAAGTTTCAAACACACCCTATTTATTTAGCTTTTCTTCATATGTTGGTCTAGTTACAATGCTGGCTAACTTGGGTTTCCAAGAGCATTCATTCTAGAACAAAGCAGCAAAACTGATTCTCAAACCCAGGAGCAAAGAGAATGGATGATTTAAAATTGAGGATGATGGTCATGACAATCTATATCCTCCCCTCCAAATAATCATACCTTTGTAATTGCAGTGAAGACCTTCTCCAGGATGGCATTGGGTTGGGCAATTTGTGGTCCATTGGCCTGGATGTTGAGAGCTATGGCACATGGTTTGGCAACAAATCTAAAGAAAGAAGTCAGAAGTTATTTTTATAGCTGTTCTTACTATTAAAGTTATACCTGTTTAGTTGTCCCCAATAAAATAGACAAAATTTTGTAGTTTGACATTGTCAATACCTAGAAAGCCAATTTATTTTTTTCCTTTCCTTCATTACCCCACCAGTAAAAGTACAAAAGAAAATTCTCTAAAATTTACTTTAGAGAGTATCATATATATTTAAGATTTTGATTATAAAAATTGGATTAATTTTAGGATTAAGAAATATGTCTTCTTGGGGCTGGAGTAACAGAATAGCGGGTAGGGTGTATGCCTTGCTCGTGACTAACCCGGGCTCATTTTCTATCATCCCATATGGTCCTCCAAGCACTGCCAAGAGTAATTCCTGAGTGCAAAGTCAGGAGTAACCCTGAGCATTGCCGGTGTGACCCAAAAAGCAAAAAAAAAAAAAAAAAAAAAAACAAAAACAAAAAACAAAAAACAAACATTCTTTACAATGTTACTGAGAAAATGTTTTAAAAGTGTACTGAAGCTAAACAGGATAAGAAAGCATAAGATGCATGGTGTAATACATTAAAAAGAATCATTCTAATGCTTTTGTAAACACTAGAGGACAATAGCGACAATAGCAAAGGTGAGAAAACCACATGACTACATTATATTGAGTTTCTTTTGGGGGAGAGAGATGCTCCCAAGCAATGTTCAGGGATGCCAGGGGATACGTTCTGTTGATACTCAACAAGACCAGATGGTTCCACAACACTACACATTCTCAGGTCTTGCAGTAAATAAAATGACCAAGGCCTTCCCTGCAGGGCTTCACCAAGCTACATCTGCCTATTAATGCTTGAACTTGGACTTTGCAGAACAAGCAATACATGTGCCCCTGAGCACTGAGCTATCTCCATGGAGAATGAGTTTTTTGACTCTTAAAATATTGCTACTCATGCATCCCTGCTGGGTACATCGAGAAAGTCAGAGATGCTTCTATACCTTTGAGACAGGGCAGAGAGCATGGAGTCACAAAGGTAAGGTGCAATACAATACAAAGATACAGTGACCTGTCTAAAATATTTTTAAAACAGAAAAAGCATTTGCAACTGTATGAACTGTTTTAGATTTTGTTGAAGAAATACAATTTGCCAAAAATTATTTTCAATAGAGACATTTAGTATTTTCTACTAATAGAAAGTCAGTTAGTGTTATATAAAAGGACTATCCCAAATTAATTAAAGGATGACCAAAAGCAACAGTAAGTATAACTAATACAATTTCCATATGTGGTATTGGGGCTGGAGTGATAGCACAGCAGTTAGGCCACTTGCCTTGCACATGGCCGACCCTGCGGACCCGAGTTCGATTCCTCAACCTTCGATTTCTCTGCCCCTCTTGGAGAGCCCAGCAAGCTACCAAGAGCATCTTACCCGCACAACAAAGCCTGGCAAGCTATCCATGACGTATTCGATATGCCAAACACAGTAACAAGTATCACAATGATACTGGGCCCGCTGGAGCAAATCGATGAACAACAGGAGGACAGTGACAGAGACAGTGATGTGGTATTACGTAATATCCTACTGGGTTCTATTTCAAGTAAAAGAGGAAATTTACTCAAGCAAGAAACTGTAACAGTAAATATGCAAACTTAAGCCATGATAGACATACACAGATAATGTTCCAGAATGACCACATTTCCCTGATCTTTCAGGGAGAATGAAAGAGAAATAAGACCCATTTTTCAGTATGTATGTCTTCCAGAAAAGGAAGTTTCCCAGAACTACTATATTCTCAATCATTTTAACATAAAAATTTCCAAGACATATTACTTAAGCTCTAACCTTCGAAGAACATTTTTTTCCCTAATGACTCCGACTCTTTGATATGAACAATAATCATGAATATAGTTTAGTTAGGAGGAGAACAAAATGAAATGTGATAGAGCCAGAACTGGTTTCCTTGACAACAGTTTCTGCTTTATAGTTATCTCTTTGTTATAAGGCATAATGAGGAGTGTGAAGTGACACAAGGTCCAGCAAGAGTGGGAAAAAAAAAGTTTTAAGTAGCAGAATTAATTTAGTATAAAGGACAAAATCAACTCTTGGAATAGCTTCCTTCTACTCAAATCCTTGCTGGAACCTTCTTAGCCCTCCCTTGTTTCCCCACTGTCCTTCCCCCTCCCATGTTCTGAATGCTCCTTCAAATTCTCTTGTGGAATTTGCCCTAATCATCCTTGTAACATCCTTGTGGTCTAGTTCGCAGTAGTTTAGTTCACCTACAGAGTGAAGAGTCCAAATGCACAGAATTATTTCACCACTGCATAGTCTAAAGCAATGCCTGGAGACACAGGAAATCAGATCAACTGGCTATCTTCAGTAAATGTGTCTCCTTGTAGCAACCATCAGTCTTGACAACTGCTGACAAATTAAACACCTTATTCTTATACTTGCAAGAATGCAAGATTAGTGGTATTGAATCAAGAAACTCACTCAATACAATCTTGCAAATGCAAATTACTCACATTTGCCATCATCTTCCCTGTAACTTAAAAAAAGCATTTAAAGGGGTTGGTTCTTTTAAAATCTATTACGGGGTGCATATAACACTATCTCCTCTTTATAAGCTTCAAAAGACACTTAAATAAAAAATTTTTTTTTATTTTTTTAATTTTTATTAGGTATTTTCATGAGGTAGAGCTGTAGACTTACAAATTTTGTGCTTGGGTTTCAATTATAAAGTAAAAGTAAAGACCCTCCCGTTGATCACCGATTTGCTCGAGCGGGCCCAGTAACATCTCCATTGGAGACTTTGTTGTTACTGTGTCTGGCATATCGAATACTCTCGGTAGCTTGCCGGGCTCTCCGAGAGGGGCGGAGGAATCGAACTCGGGTCGGCCATGTTGGCCGCGTGTAAGGCGAACGCCCTACCCGCTGTGCTATTGCTCCAGGGTTTCAATTATACAATGATCAAATACTCATCCCTCCACCAGTGCCCATTTCCCACAACCACATATCCCAGTATCCCTCCCACCCCCCGGACCCCCCCATCTCACCCTGCCTCTGTGGCAGCGCATTCCCCTCTGTTCTCTCTCTCCTTTTGGGTGAGTGCGCGAGAACAGATGACTGGTTAAAGAAACTCTGGTACATCTACACAATGCAGTACTATGTAGCTGTTAGAAAAGATGAAGTCATGAAATTTACATACAAGTGGTACTACATGGAAAGTATCATATTAAGTGAAATGAGTCAGAAAGAGAGGGATAGACATATAAAGATTGCATTCATCTGGGGAACATAAAGTAACAAAATAGGAGACTAACACCCAAGAATGGCCAAGATTAGTACCAGGAATAAATAAAAAATGTTAAGTAATGTCCACACACTCTCACACACAGGCACGCACACACACCACGCACACACACACACCACACACACACACGCACACACACACACAAAGCATGCCTGAGAAAGGCAAAAATAAGCCCTGAGCACCACTGTATGTGGCCTTCTCACCAACAAAAAAGTCTGTGTGTCTATCACACTTCACACTCTTCCTCTGCCCAAACTCTCAGAATTTGAAGTTGACCTGTTATTCAGCAAGAATTTGAGTGGAAGAAACTATCATAAGAGCTCATTTTGGTCTTTATACTAAATTAATTTTGCTACTTAAAACTTTTTCCCACTTTTGCTGTACCTTGTGTCATGTCACACTTTTCATTATGCCTTATAACAAAGAGATGACCATAAATGCTCACCAAATTACTAATTAACTCCCTGCCCCCAAAGGCAGCAAGACCCTCTTTAAAAGATCAAACATCTACAAAGTACTTTTTTTTTCCCTTTATTGAATTTTATTTTTTTTAAAGTTGTAGATTTACAATTTTTTGTGCTTTGGTTTCAATTATACAATGATCAGATACCCATCCCTCCACCAGTGCCCATTTTCCACCACCATGGATAATATCCCTCCCACCCCCATCCCCCCATCCCCCCTGTCTCTGTGGCAGGGCAATCCCCTGTGTTCTCTCTCTCCTTTTGGGTGTTGTGGTCTGCAAAAGAGGCATTGAGTGGCAAACATGTTCAGTCCATAGTCTACTTTTGACATGCATCTCCTCTCCTGGGAGGATCCTCCAAACATCCTTTATTTGGTGCTCCCTTCTCTATCTGAACTGCCCTTTCCTCTAGGATACCCGGCTGGCCTCTAAGTTATGGAGTAATCCTCCTGGTGCTGATCTCAGCTATTCTTGGGTATTAATCTAATACTACAAAGTACTTTTATGTACTCAAAGATATTTGAAAGTGACTATCATAAGGATTTTAAAACACTGAACAAAATTAGTCTCAGTTAAAACAGCAAAGAAAGCACCCAAAAGAGCACTGCTCTTCAGCTGTTTCACAACACATGTAGACATGAACTGAACATCTCTGAGATAAGCTCTGGGTTACGATGCGGCTAAAAGCATACACAAAACATGAGGTGATTCTTGCATTCAGGCATGTTTACATTGCAAAAAAGAAAATATGAAATATTCTAGACTACAAATCATTATTCTAATTAATACTATAACTCAACTTCAGTGAGAAGCACAGCTGGAGAAGTTTGTTCCTTCCTAAGTGTTGTTTTTCCTAAATTTTATATTTATAAGGCTATGGTGCTAAAATCAAAAATCAACACACCTAATTAAGTTGCAGAGAATCAAATCACATTGACAAACACACACATTCACACACTAACAAGACCAACTGAGAAACTGAAATGAGAAACTAAAATGAACTGAATAGAAAATGAAAGAGAATGCAGTTTTACAAATTATTGACATTGAGGGAAACTGACTAAAGGGGACAAGCTCTCAATATATTATTTGTCACAAGTACATGGAAATTAATCATTGTTTCAGTAAAGATTTTAATTTTAGGATTTAAACTAAAACCAAAAACGGAGCTCAAAGGATAGCCATGGTTTGCATGCAGGTGTATCAGGTTTGATTCCTGGTTTCACATAGTCCCCTG